AAAGATGGGGACACTTTTTTTTTTTTTGAAAAAAAAAAGAGGGCCCAAAGAAAGGGAAAAAACCCTACCTTTTTTCTCCGGTCCAGGGGAATTGGAAAAAAATTAAGGGGTTTCCCGAAAAAATTTTCCCCCTTTTTCCCAAAATTTTTGGGTTTTAAAGGTTGGGGAACCCCTGGGGGGTTTAAAAATCCCTTTTTGGAAAAAAAAAAATTTTTTTTTTGTTTTTTTTTTTTTTTTTTTTTAAAATTTGGGTTTTTTTTTTTTTTTTTTTTTTTTTTAAGCCGCGATAAAGGGGTAAAAAAAAAGGGAAAATTTTTTTCCCCCAAAAGGCCCCCCGGGTTTTTTCCCTTCCCAAAAAAAAAAACAAAAAATTTTTAAAAAAAAAAAAAATTTTTTGCCCCCCCCCCCCCCCCCCCCCCCCGCCGCCGTGCGTACACGGCCCCCCGTTGCCCCCCTCCCCTTGCTGGTCTTCCCTTCTTTTTTTGCCTCTTCTTGGCGGGACACCCGCGTCTCGTGGGGATCTGACGTCCCGCCGAACACACCAATGTCCATATGGACACACGTGCTGAATTTGCCGCGTACGATGGGAACGGTGCTCATGGCGCTTGGCGTGCGCAACGCTGGCATGCCCGGTGTTTACTGGCGTTTGCTCCCATGCACGGGAATTGGGTGCCTGGCGTTCATGACCATGTGTGTCATGCGTGGCACTACTACACCACAAAAATCCACACAAACGATAACAACAAATTGGGCACAAAAACGTGCTGCTCCTTCTCGAAAAATGCATGTAACTACACATGTACGCATGAAATCTGCATGCAACTACGTGTAAAAAAATACGCATGTTCGAATTCATCATTAGCTCATTTTGCCCATGAAGACCGCCCTCAACACGAGGGAGCCCCGCATCATCTGCCCGACTCTCAAGATCCTCCAGCAGATGATTCTGCTGAGCCCCATGATCGGCCAGGCGCTGGTGCCGTACTACCGACAGGTACGTGCCTCCCGATTCGTTTTCGCGTGAGCATTGTTTGTTGTTTGCTCCTTGCCACGGTTCTCAGGTACATATAGTTATTTCCTGCTGCCTAAGGATGATGGGCAGCATGCTTGCCTTGCCATTTATACCGCGTATTTTTGCCTGCTTGATAAAAAAAAATTATGTCGAATGTTTTTTGGTGGACGTGTCTGGGACAAAGATATGTATGTGCATCTCGTCCCCTCCTAGTCGGCTTGTTTGCCTAGTCTCCGCCATGTCGGCGTTGCCTCGTACACACTGCGACCTCCTCTCCTGTTTCTCAGCTTGCAACCGGCGTGTGTAACTGTACAGGGCAGTTTGGTTGCTTTTCCCGGGGGGGGGCGGGAGGTACTGGGTGAGGTGGGCTGAACAGCTGCTGTAGTATGGGGCCCACTAGTAGTATGGAAAGCGATGAAGACCTGGCGAGAGGCGTGGTGGTTAGGAGGGAAACGGGGGGGGGGGGGGGGGAAACCCCCCAACCAAGGGGAAAAACGGGGTTTGTTTCTGGCCCGGAAATGAACAAAGTCCGCAACAATGGCAAAAAAAATGAAAAAAGACAATGTCCAAACTCTTCTAGCCCGGACCGCCCCGCTATTCCTCCGAAGCTTCTTCCTGGGGATAGTGGTCGGCGAGCAAACGATAAACCTCTCACGAACTGAATAATGTACCAAGCGCACCACCAACCCTTGACGGTTTTTTTCTTTCGTTTTCCGTTTTGTGTCTGCTGTTGGCGATGATGCGTTGTAGCTCCTTCCGATGTTCAACCTGTTCCGCGGGATGAACAGCAACATGGGAGACGCCATCGACTACAACCAGCGTTCCAGGATCAACGTTGGAAAACTCATCATGGAGACCCTCGAGGTGATGGTAAACACGACAAGGTAGTTTTGTTTCTTCGAGCACCTTCACCACGCCATCTGTACCACTGCAGTGCTGTGCTGTATCGTGTCGTACTCTTGGTGTGTGAAGCAAAGAATGTGTGATGCACCCCGCATAAGCCTCCCTCTTTTTTTTTCTGTCTTGGTGGGGCTGGCCGCAGGTGATGGAGCAGTTTGGAGGGCCCGACGCCTTCATCAACATCAAGTACATGATTCCAACGTGAGTGCGGTGTTTTGCACAAGGTGGAGGAAAGTTGAACCCCACAAGGATAAAGCTGTTTCTTGCATATACTGGGTCAGAATCCTCCACCCGCGCGCACGCACACGCTGCACTTCATTTGCCAGCAATCCCTTCTGTTGCTGTCGCTCGCAGTTATTCATAGTTTCAGATTCCCATGTACCCTCCGCTCTCCCCGCCGTTCTTATCTGAAGTGCTTCTTCGATCCGAGGTTCAAACGTTGTCATTGCTCTGCGAAGCCGCTTCATCCTGCACCACCCTAGATGGGCTTCCCTCCTCCACACCGTGAAATTTAGCGAGAAGAACACCGATCGATCCACCACACAACTTGTGCTGTAACCACGGGTTGTACGACATCAACACTCCATTGCCACTTTTTCCACCCTTCGTGGGACAGTCCCGAGGGAAACCTAGAAAAGTCGACTCTGACCGTCGGGTCGTGCTCTCCGCCCTCCGTGTCCAATGTGTAGGTACGAGAGCTGCGGGCCCTGACGCTTGTGTGCTGCCCTGACACGGGCCGGAAGATTCGCTTTCGTTCTCGAGAAACGGACGGCGAGACGAGGAGACTTGGTCGGCCGGGAGGGAGAGGAGAGAAAGGACATAGTTTTTCATTGTATTCATGGTTGTTTTTTTCACGGCAAGCAGTAAAGTTCTGCAAAGTCTCCGCACGCGTCGCGGCAGCGAGGGTGCGCACGATAGTCGTTCTTTGTATGTCGTTCGTGTGAAAGTCAGATCAAGTCATGATGGCTTTGCGGTCGATAACGATAGCTGGGGGGGAAGAGGAGAGGGGCGGAGAAAGCGCGCGCAAAAGGCAGCGAAATGCCGGTCGATCGGTCGGTTGTTCGACGAAGAGACACACGGTTCTTGTCTGAAAAACAATTATTTGGGAAATTGCGTACACAACGAGCCAACATCACCCCACGCCGATCATCGATCGACCCCTTACTATCCTGTCGGGCACGCTGTTTCGACGGAAAGCTCTACACCCCTCAAAGTCCATGTCAGTCCACGGCTGACCTTCGGTCCAGTTTGACCCAACAGAAAACAGAGTGTTTGAAGAGATTGACTCTAGGTGACACCGTTACTACTTTCTTGGTCTTTCTTCCATCAGTACACTGACTGGTAGCCAGAGGTTGTGAGTAGGTTGGGGCACCGCTACAACCTACTACATGTAGGAGGTCGTTTCTTCTCCCAATCCCAAAATAGTAACATCGCGACAATACAGAGCTCTTCGCTGGCTTCAACCACTCGGAAGCTGCTGCGGCGTTGGTAGTCAGCATAGCTGCCGCAGATACTGGCAAATGTCGTCATACCACATAGATAGAGCAATTTTTCGTATCAGCTATCATACCTGAAGACGTGGGAAGTATTATTATAGAAGAAACGGCTGCTGTACAGCCAGCTCTGTACAGCAGTCTACATTAGCAGTAGACTTCAAGTAGCCCAGACAAAGCAGCAGCAGCAACGGCAGCAGCAGCAACGCGGACGTGTTTCTTCTACGTACCACAAGTCGCTCCTTTTCTGTGTGCTGTGTGCTGTGTGTGCTCTGTGAGCTGTTGCCGAGGGCCAGGGCCTCATCCACGCACATTTGGGTCACAAGAAATTTCCTTGAAATTCCTACAATCAGCAATACCGACGGATCGCCGCGGCACTGTCAACTGTTGGGAGCGGTCCGTAGATTATTTTCGTTCCCAAAGCGTGGTCTTCGGATTCTTCCAAGATTTTGCCATTTTCACAGAAGAAAACCGGCTGGTCTCTGTCTGTGTCTGTTGTCTGTCTGTCTGTCTGTCGTCTCCGGAATATCTGGTGGCTTCTCCTTCGTGAGGTGCTCAATACACATGTGAGTGCATCAGCTTGGTGGGAAAGGCTGATTTGGGCACCCGGGTGTGTGTATATATCAGCAGCAGCAGTATCACCTGGTCTGTGTTGTATGCAGGCGAGAATCGCATGTCACGGACACAGAAGCGGATTTGTCTCGTTGTCACGCACGGTGTGCCGCTGAACTCGAGCCGGTAGATCTTGATGATATGCATCGGATGGGTATGTTCACATCGCATCAAGTGTAGACTTTCCATGTGTCCATGTAGCGTCTGAAGACGTTTTGTTTTCGTTCCCTTCGAGAGAAAAGATTAGTATATCCAAACCGGCGATCGGGAAAATGGTCTATCCGCGAACAATTTGCGTCTGTTGTATCTACGTTAGGTGGAGAAGATATGGCGATACGGACGCGTTCTCAACCAGACGACACAACAGCTGTGTCGTCGTTGTGCCCCTGAAGTATAATTGTAGGTACTGCTGAAGTAGCTGCCATGAGATACGCCAATCAACCGACCTCCTTCCTTGTTTTCATCACTGGAGTCCACTTGAAGGTGCTTGCTGCGTCTGCAAACAAACTTATCTGCTGTTTCTTTCCATCCCGCCCGCCTGCTGAACAGATAGAGGGCTAACCCCCCCGCCTCCCCCCGTCGCCAGGACCGCAACAACAACAACAACAACAACAACAACAACAACAACGACGACGACGACGACGACGACGACAACGGACGACGCAGCCCCCACTAGTATCTCCTACCACATCCTCACAACTTCGAGAACATCAGATGCGACGAGCGAGACGGAGGTGCTGGTCCGTCGCCCTAGCCCTCCTGCTAACGTACGCCGTCGTCAGCACCGTCCTTTTCTTGCGGCCTCCGCTCCACCCGGTCGGCCCCTCCACCAAACCCAGCACCACCATCTCCGGCAACCAGCGGACACGACAGCAACCCAGGCTCCGATCGGCTTCGGGGGCCGACTCGATCGTCTTCGTTGCCCTGGGCCCCGCGGCGCGGTCGGCCTCGCTGCTGTACGCCCTGACGTCGCTTAGAGAGGAGGGAGGCTGGGACGGCCAGGTGCACGTGGTCGTTGAGCGCGAGGATGACCTGGCCTGCCTCTCGTCGTACCTTCGCCAGTCCGTCACGGCCATCGCTATCGCACCGCCGCCGCCGCCGCCCTCACCCGGCGGTAGTCTTCATTCCGGTGGCGGGGACACGAGAGGGGTGGTGCAGAACGCCAAGATGGCGAAGATGAAGCTCCTGGACCTACTTCCGCCCTCGGTGGAGCGCGTGGTGTACGTGGACTGCGACGTCGTCACCCAGCGGCCTCTCGGGCCTTTCCTCGACGCCGTCGCCCGCGAGTGGGACGAGCTGGACAGAAAAGCGGCAGCGGCAGCGGCAGCGGCGACAGCTGCGGTGGGAGGGCCAGCGACAACCAGGCCGCCGCCGAAAAAAGGAGTAGTGAACTCACGCTTGCGAGGAGGGCGTGATGATGGCGACGAGGTATTTGCTCCTCCTCCTCAGCCGATGAGCGGCGACGGTGACACCAACCGACGGCCGCCGCCGCCGCCGCCGCCACCGCCGTCAACAGTGATGATCTTCGCGGACGCGGGCGGGCACACGGTCCCCGTTTGCCGGGGCTGCGACCGGGCACACTCGGGGGTGGTGGCCCTGGCGCGTGGGCACTCCGAGCGGTGCCTGAAGCTTTGGCACGACGCTTTCGAGGGAGACGGCGCGGGAAACGGGGGCACGTCCACGGACCAAGAAGCGCTGGACGCGGCGCTCGGGGAGGGGTCGGGCTGCGAGGCGATCATGATGGGACGGTGGCACCTCTCGTTCATGAAGGACGCGTTTGTCATGGCCGGGCTGACGAGGACGAGCACGTTCGGCCACTACACGGGGCTGCTTCACCCGAAGACCCTGGGCAAGGTCTACCGGAGGTTTTACGAGTGGGCCCTTGGGATGAGCTTCGAGGAGTGGGGGCAAGGGGAGATCCAGGGCTGCGCGGTCGAGTGATGATTGGGAGGGAGGGCGGCGGGCTGTGGTGATGTTGTGGGCTGGCTCTTGTGATTCGGTTGGCTCGATATGGTGGTAAACAATGCTCTGTTTGGTGAAGAGGAGGGCCTCGGAACAGCAACATTATATCAGGAAGATTGTGCGTGTCTTAATAAGACCGTGGTTGTTTACCGTACTTGTCAGGTTGCTAGAAAGACGAAAGATTTCTTGGGCGATGAAGTGGTGATTTTCGCATTGGTGGCAGCTACGATGACCGTGTGAATGTGCGTTCTATGCTTGCATTGTTTCCTATGGAAGGAATGGTACGAATTAGGGGGAGCGGGGGTAAGGTCGAAGGAACAATGCCGTACGTAGAGCTACTCGCAGTTGACTGTGTTGAACGGAGTGTAATCAATTGGCTAGAAAACGGCCGGGAAAGCTGGCGCAGCCGTATACCCCTCAATAGTTGTTTGGTTTTGCTCGACTGCAGATTTGTATGACGTGATTGCTCTCATTATTGAGCCCAATACAACTTTGATAACGGCTTATTTAACAGACGGAAACAAACAAGAGGGAAGGGCGGGTTGCAGGTCCAGTCGTCGGGTATCCATGCGAATGTTTTCTTGTCTTGGCTGTCGGTGTTGCCCCGACACAATAATAATAGTGTAAAGGAGAGGTTTGGCTTAGAATTGCCAGGCGTTCATGCGACGGTTCCTGGGGTTCTCGTCCAGAATCATCCTCCACTGGAGAGAATGGGAGACTAGCGATTGAACCTCAACTCATTATACTGTAGGCACAGGTGCTCGGTTCCGAGGTCCCGACAACAGAATAGGTTCTGCAAAGGAACCTGTGAACACAAAATTGGCCAATGATCGCAGTAAAACTAGTGTTTGCGACGTTAGATCGAACAGGCCCGGTCGCTTCTAACGTCCCGGGCACCCGGATCTACCGCTCGTGCTTCGACGGCACATGCTGTGAAGCAAATGAGCAATGTTGTAAGTTTTTTTCTGTTCTAGTATGAGGCATATACACACGCTTGAGTCGCCTGCAGAAACCCACCCGGCAACTGATACTTGTCCTGTTTGAGGCAATCATTGTTGTTGCAGACAGACGTAAGAAATAGAGATAATCCCCCGGCCGTTTCAGCGAGCGGTAAACCTCTAGCCGAAACAAGAACCTGGCGAAATAAGGACAAGCGTGCTCGGTTTGCGGTAGGCAAAACACCGCCAGGAGTCTCACACGCTCATTAATAGCCTTTGCAGTGATAGAGGGTTCTGTGTACGCCGTTAGTAGTAGCGCGCTTCGCCTTGCCGGCAATCGACACGGAGGGGTCCGCTGATGGTGCTCCTCATGCTATTGGTGGAGCTTCACAAGTGCTCGATGCCACGAGTGGCAGGATTCTGACTAGAAACGATGCGCTTCCGGTGTTGTTGTCGTTGTACGGTATTCCCGTGATGATCTTATGCAGACCGTGGTTGGATGGAAATGTATAGGCCGTGCGTCTTGTTTTGTTATGCAGAACGATGGACGCTCTGCGTACGTGGGTTGTTAACCGCTGAACATCTGTGCCCCCCTCTACTTGTTTTGTACCGTCAAACCCCAAGATACAAAAATACACATCTCTCTTCTCTCTCATTTGCTATTCATCTACGGAACAAGTAGTACGCCATGATTCCCTAGTGAAGGCTGCTACAACACGCACCGACCCAATCCCCTCTTTTTTTCAACCACTCTCCTCCACCACGGGACGTCCAACAAGAACCGCAGCCTAAGGCCTTCAAACAAGCGCGCGCGCGGACAGTCGACACTGAACAATTCTTCGCGGTTGCTCGGCACCACCAGACACAGAGAACTTCCGCCTCCAAATGCTGTACAAAACTAGGGCACATGACGTGCGTACCAATACATCCAACAGTTCATGCCGCGCGCCACAGAATTCCTCCATATTTTCGCCCGGATCGTTCCGGCGCACGCTTGAAGGGAACGTAGTTGCGGCAGTATGCACAAGGTCTAGGACGATACATCGATTATTGTCTACAAGACGAACACGCGACATGTCCTACGAAAACAGATCTACAGTGATAAAAACAGCCATCAGTTTGACTCTCCATTTACTTACATCAACACGCACACGGCCGCGATCTCAACGACACGCGCTCCTAAAACTCCCGAGAGTCATCACTTGTACTAACTGTCGCTTATGGTTACATCTCCGTGTTTCAATGTTACAAAAATCAGCCCATTTTTTGGTCCAGGTACTACCCCTCCCAAAGTTGTCCGAAACTACTCCCCTGGGCTGTTTAAATAGCACTGCCTCTCCACGGTCCTGACTTGACTTGTTAGCATCCTAAACATAATTCAGATCCCGTTTCCGAACGGCCACCTTCTATTTTCCCACTCACTACACCATGCACCCCGATTTCGCTTCTTCAGCTACGGTGAAGTAATCTCCTCCGACCATCTCAGGCCGGTCCCTAAGAAACAACAGGAGGACACGGGGTAGATTTCAGAAACATTGCTTCCATCAAGACAAGATGTGCATATGCACACCACCCCGAACCACCACCACACGGGGTATCATCATCGACGACCCCGGATGTCATCCTTTGCGAACCACTTCCAGAGCTTGGCAGGGACAAGGAGCATGTCCGCGCTGACAAACTCCGCCAGAGTCGGAGCCCGCACGGCCAGGCCCCAACGCGATAGTCGCGACAAATCGCTTCTACTACTATTACCATCACCATCCCCCCCCCTCCCACGGACACCCCCTCTGATGGAAGGGGTGGCGGTGGCGCGAGGTGTCGAGGCGAAGAGATCGGTTCGAATCAAGGGCTCGCAACGACGTGTGCGTGGTCGTCGTCTGTCTGTCGCTCCCTGCTCCTTGTTGTCTGGAAAAGGCGGTGGCGGCAGGAGTGGCTCGTCGGCGACGTCGCAGAAAATTTCCCGGAGATCTGCGAGGCACCTGCATTTTCGATTACCACCACACACACACATATGATGAGCATTAGCGCGGTCGATGATCTACATATGCGTAGAAACACACACACACACACACACACACACACGTTTTTTTCATTGGACAGCCGGTTAGCGCCGTGGATTCCAATTAAGATAACACGCACGCACGGAAACGCGCAAAAATAGGGCACAAAAATGTGTTGTTTAGGTCGGTAAACGTGGGCGTAAGTAAGAGGTTCTCACAGCAGGCACGCCGCTGAAGGGGATACATGAACGGGTGCGTGCTGCAGAGCAGTTCGAACTGTGGCATACGAAACAAGCAGTCACTGGTGGGTTTTCCCGTGCCTCCTGTGTGACCCCGGCTAAAACGCCACAAGGTATACACCGAACGCTGTGTAGGATGGCGCTAGAATAGATGAGACGAAAACACACACGATCACATCTCTTACTGCGGGGAGGGACGACGTGGACATGTCGAGTACGGCTTGCGTCGGAAAAGCAACAAAAAACACGAGCGTTCAGTCTTCGCTCTGCACGAACCCGAGACGACCCATCGAAAACGAGGAGGGTCAAACCGATGCCAAGCAGAGACGCGCGGAGCATGTCGTTACAGCAGCACAGTACTCGCCTCGAGCGTTTCTTGGCGTGGGGGGCTTGCCACCACTTCCCGCTGCCCTCTCCGATGCTAATGCCTCCGAAGAGGCCGACGTCGACCACGGGGGCGAAGGCGGCAACGGGAGGCAGCCCCGACACAGAGGTCACCGCCTGTTTCGTCGCAGGTAGTAGGTGTTGATTGACGCAACATTTCGGCGTTTGGCGGCGCACGTCATCACCAGCAGACGGAAGAAAGAAGCAAGGCGGGTCGAGTGGCAAGAGTAGGTTTGTTAGGCGACTGCGTGCATGTGCCGTGTGTGCATCGTAGATACCGGTAGCAGGGGCGAGTGAGGTACGACATGAAGAGGATGGTATCGTGCCTCGAGCATGAGACGGTAATGCGCAGAGGTACTAGCTGCTGAGTGGTTGTGTTTCCGCGGTTACCTGTTCCCCTAATCTCCGGAGGATATTAGTGTCTGGGGAGTAGATCTCGGCCTCAAGGACGTAGGAAGGGTGTGAGAGGCAATAATATTGTTTGTCACGGATTCGAGCGAGATGCGAGTTTTAGCGGCTAAACTGGGAGGAGCCAGATCGAGACTCGACGACAGCAAAAAAAGGGACGTCATCACCAGAAGACATTCTACAAAACAGGGAGTCACTCCGTACTGCACACAAGAGCGCTCATTGTGAGAAGAACACCAGAGGGTTTTGTATCAGCTTTTTCAACCTGCTAACACGAAACGACCCAGCACGTTGCCTGTGTACTGCGCGAAGAACACGCACCATCTGCATGGCGATGTCCTCGCAGTTGCGGTGGGAGTCCACGTAGGCCCGAGTCTTGACCATGGCCCGGACGGTAGCCTCGCTCCACGCGGAGCCGGCGCTATCATCACGGCGTCGTTCTTGTGTTTCCGTGACGTCGCCACCACCACCACCTTCGCCTCCGCCACTGCTGTAGAGCTCGAGGTACTTGGCGTGCACGAAGGCGGCCTTGGTCAGGATGATGCTGTACTCCATGCTCCAAAGCACCCTTCATGTTTTCCAGGAGCAGTGGTCAACACGAATGGACGTGGGCAGGCACGGTGTGGCTGCGAACAACGTCCGGGCTCATATCCTGCATGCGGAAAGCTCCTCGACAAGAGAATAACCTCCGACGAGAGGAAGAGGCTACGGCTGACGGTTACACTTACGAACAGTCAACGCGAAGCACTCAAGACACAACCAAAAAACCACCGCCAACAGCGTTTCAAGCGTGTACTCCAGCAGGACATGTTACATACTTTACTACACCCATCAGACATCAGTATCAACATACGCGCACCCTTTCGCCGAGTTGAAGGGCATGCCTGCACGTCAGCCTCACCATGTCCCCGCTGCGCGACAACACAACACCCCGTTCAGCCGAGCCGAAAATCTACCGTTTCACGCGGACTTACAAGACGTGCTTGTCGTACATACAGACATGCGAGACGCCGGCCCATGCATCAAAATAGCAAACAAACACGCCATACCTCCAAAAGTAGAGGTATTCCCAGTTGCCGTTGCCCCCGTCCTCCTTCACCCCTGCCGCCGTTGGCGGCTGGTAAGAGTGCGAGCGAGGGAAGAAGCCCACCAAGGTGTCCGGGTGCTGTTGCCAGGTCTGCTCGAGCGAGTTCGGTTTCATGGTGTTGAGCAGTGGTCACCCAAACCATAGATATACCCAACATCAGGGGGAACAATCAACTACGTTGTTTGCCCTGTAACAGCTCAAGAGCCTCTAGTTTCAGCAAGGGGGACCCGGATCACGGGGTGGTTTTAGTCCAATACGAGATGAAGCGCTTGTTGTGTGCGCAATTTCTACGTTTTGCCCTGAAAAAAGAACAAGAATGTCGTTCGTTTGACAATGATGTGTGCCTGAAGACGCCGGCCGTACGCTTCACGCCTGGGACAGCAGAGAGGAAGGTAACCTATGGGCTGAATCGTGCCGCTATTGCTGAATAGTCCGGTAGTGCTAGTTACCCTCCGGTACATCATGGGCGCCGCGCGGTTGACCTCACATTAAAGGCAGACAGGAGGTGCTCGCAGGGTACAGCGATATCGTCGTCCACGACAAAGACCGCCTCCGTCATCAGGTCCGACGGTGGCATGAACCTACCACATAGTAGAAAGAAAAAAAAAACGGCGCACGCAGAGAAAAGGGCGAGGTATCCGCGAAGTAAGTGCGTTACGTTGTCTTCGCTAAAGCCTTTTTTTCGACGGCGGATCGCGGCTTGAAACGGCCGGGTTAGACTATTTCTTGAGACGACAACAAACACTCCGCCTGTCCCGAGAGGGCAGTCGGCATCGGAGTATAGCTACCTACGAATACCGTAACGAACGCGTCACCACACACACTGTTCCAGGGTGGTGGTGGAGAACGGCGGTAAATCAAGCAACAACGATAACCCGGACACGCAGCATGGTGTCCAGTGGTATGCTACATCACTCTTGGATGCGTCTACGCGCATCTTGGAACAACCACCCAACGCAAAAAATGCGATGTATGCGTGATACCGACGCGGGAGTTGGAATCCCAGCAGGACACTTTTTTTGCCAAACATGCAACAGAACTACCGGTGGCAGACTGGCGTGGGGTCCGTCCTCGGAGATCACTGTCACATGTATATCACTATCTGTCCATGCTGGTGTGCCAAGAGCCCACCGACATATCTTTTATTCAATAATGCTACATGTAGTCCATTAGACTAGCATTTATTGGACAGCGTGTACCTGTTGTTGATGCTCGTCGTCGGGTAGGCGTGTATCTTCACGGGCCTCGGATGATCGAAAAGCAGCGGGCTCGTGGTCGCGTCCGGCGGGGGGGAGGGCTCGGACCACGCAACTCTGACGCTCTCCACGCTGGAGTTATTCGTTGGCGTGAAAGAGACGGGACGATTTCCGGTCAACATGTCACCGGACAGAGGCGGTCAAAAGCAGCAACAGAAGAACAATTATTTTCCAAGACTTGTGCGTACATAGGTGACGACGAACTGAAGCAATCGTCTAGAATTAATATTGTTTTGATTGAGACAGCGAGGCGAAGAAGAGAGAGCCAAAGCCTCTACAGTGTAGATGGAAAATTATAGTCAAGCGCACATCAGGCATGTACTGATATTGGGGGGCGGGTGAAGAAAGAGATCAGAAGAGGAAAAATATGAACGGTGGCATACGCTATCCATGAGCGGTGGAATACGCTATCCATGAGCGGGTGCAATGGCGGGTTCATTGAATGCGCTCATCATGCTGTGGGCGGGATTTACAACAACTTTCTCGTTTTCATATGCATGCTTGCTTGTGAAGTCGGTAGCATTCTACAGACTGCTGCTGCTGTAAACTGGGACGGCAAGAGGGCTCCAATCTACAACAACAGTAGGAATCCACCTTGGGCACTTCGCGTAGTGTCGCACAGCCTCTTCCATCTGTCTAGGTCTCTCGAAAGTGTTGACCACGATCGTGAACATGCCGCCTTGACGGTCGACAGCAGCACTACTACTAGCCGACGAGGCCACCCTCGCCATGGCCACGGCTCGGAACCAGATAAACAGGAACGCGCCGCCTATCGACAGCAAGCACCAGCCACCACAAGCGGCCAGCACTGCCCTCCTTCGCGTACGGGTGAAGCCACCGAGGTGCAGCTTTAGCTTGAGATTTGATCGCCTGAAAATGCGTTTTCTGCGATCTTTCTCTGTCGGAGGCATCGGCAAGACGCCGAGCCCGTCTTCAGCGATCGTCGCCATCGGCGGCAGCAGCGCCTTCTTCTTGTTCCCATCTTCTTCGATGATCGGCACCGGTGCCGACACGTGCCGCGGTCGCAGGAGCATGAGTAGACTCTGTCTCTCTCTCTTGAACAGGGCTGCAATTGCTGGATTGCACTGCTTGCGGTGCCCTGTGGTTTGGGCGGGACCGTCAGGTCGGGCTCGTTCGTGGTCCACCGTTTCTCTTGGTTTTGAGCGGACCAGCGATCTGTGCGTTGCTGTAATCACTCAACCATTAACGGTGATCCTCGGCTCTGATAAAACCCTTCCCTTTCGACTTGTCGAAGGGGCGGTTCTCCACTCGTGCACGCGAACTGCGGGGCGCGCGTAGTTCGCAAGGAGAGAGCCGGTCGAGATCCACACTTTTTTTTCGAGCTTTTTCCTTGTGTACCGACGGAAAACGGAGAACGCTCCGCAAAGAACAAGCAATTGTCACGGGAAAAATGGCTGAAAATTACCAACGGCTTGAATTGGATATTCCGATCCTCGAGCTTTGGCATCAGGCCGAAACGGTTACAGGCCAGGCCCACACAGCGGATGAATACCCCAACACACCCATTCCCACACTGCCCACCGCGCGCACACCTCAAACTGAACCGCTCCCCAGCCATCCCCTCGTCTCTCTGCTCGTCCCCCTCTACAACAACACATCTATCTGTAACACCACCACTCACCGCAGCAAGCAACTCTCACCACCCATCATCATGGCAGTAGCGTCAGACCACCAGCAGCAGCGCGTTGTGTTCTACAGCGGGTCCTTCTTCAAGATCGACGGCGTGACCCTAACTCTGAGGGGCTTGATCTCGCACATCACCAACGAGCGCGGGGCAGACGTGCTCGTCCTCACCGCAGACAACCCGTCAGACGCCGCCATATCCGACTTCACGAGGAGCGCCAACAACGGCGGCGGCGGGCTCGTGCGCGTCCTCCGCGTGGGCGGTGGGCCTGTGCCCGCCCCTGGAGCCGACTACTCGCTGGGGCTTCGGGTGCCCGAATCCACCAAGAGGGCGCTGGAGGTTTTCCGCCCCACCGCCGTGCACGTCACGAACCCTGATCTGGTAGCTCTGTGGGTGAGTTGGCGAGAGTAGGATATGCATGTAACCTTCGCCTGGAGACTGTTGCTTCGACATCGATATCTTGGGGCTACAAAAAACATGAATTGCTTCGGTTTGCTGTTGTCGAATTTTGTGTGTGGGAATGGGGAAGATCTAATTGTTCTTTTCATATCTTTTGACAGTGAGTGCCGACGAAATAAAGCATGGCGATGAGGCAGAGGGGGCGATAAGACAACTTCAAGGATAATAGTCGGTCTGTGCATGCAGTGGGGCAGAGCACGCAGATCTACTTCCAAGTGTGTGTCCGTTCGGTGCTACACGATCAATCGTCGTTTGAACAAAAATTGAGAATGCACATAAAACGACGTACGGACCACAATTGTTATTGTTCTTTTCGCCCTCCACGTGCGTGCGTGTGCGTGGTAAAATATAAATGCTCGTCGCCGTCCCCACGCTTTGCGAGCTCTCTTTCGCCATCGGCGAGAACGAAAACGCCAGGGCAACCCATTTAACGATGTAAATTATTCCTGTAGGCCTGAGTGCGGTGGCGGGGGGCGAACAAATAAAATATTCCGTCACACGAATTATGTACACCGCACTGGGACTACTTGCGTTTGAAGTAGAAACGGCCTCCAAAAGCGTGACACGTGCGTGCGGAAGCGTGTCTTCGCCTCTGGCTTTTCCTCTCCGTTAGTCGAGATGTCCTGCGCCCCCCCCGGCCACCCCCTCCACCACTGACACGCAAACGCGGCACGCATGGCAAAGCTAACGTATGGCGCCTACAACTCTGATCGTTGTCCACGGCGACGTTAGTTATCTCATATTTTTTTTGTTGTGCAGCCAGTGCCCCACCTTGTTGGACGATGTACAATAGAACAATTACTTCTGCGCGTTCCCACAATTGTTTATGTATGATATGTAGGCAACAACATGCTGTACAATAATAATCAGGCTCATCTCCCGCGCGCTGAAGAAAAATGCACCTCTGCGTGATCGTAACGTATTTCACAATCAGCTCATCAATTGGGTCCTCCGGGAGAGGGAGGACTGCGGCGTAATGGCCACGCTCCACACGGACTTCATGGAGATTGTCAACTCCTACTGCATTGTCGGGTGAGTCCGCTGAAGAAACGAACGTTCAAGTTGTCGATCTGAATGGATGGAACACCGACGCCTCGAGAGCACGTTTCGCAGCCCTTTTCTACTCCGCCTCTCTGCTGGTCCGTGTACGCACATACATAACCAATGCCAGGAAGAGAATAGATCGACGAAGGATACGCGTCTTTCTACTCAGGACGGAACCGCACAGAGGGTGTACGTACGCGTTTGTGTCGACGTCGGACGATGTATTGTGTCTTCGCATTTACAGGCCGTCGGGATGGTTCTGCCTAACTATTAGCATAAACCCTGAATCCGTGACCGCCTCGCCCGCCCGCCCGCCCGCCCGCCCGCCCGCCCGCCCGCCCGCCCGCCCGCCCGCCCGCCCGCTCGCCCGCTCGCCCGCCCGGTGTACGTGTCTGTCTGTGTTTGGGAGTGCAGCCGAACGCAGGCGCTGTGGGCGCTGTCATCGTTCCTGCGCCACGTGTACGGGCTATGCCCTTCAGTCTACGCGCCGGTGAGGGATAACACGTAGATACGCAGTTGATCGCGGCTGGTTTTCGTCTGTTCTTTGGTGCTGACGGTGTTGAAGTTGTTGTGGGTCAATGCAGCTTTCGAAAACAAACAACAGTGACAGTAGTAGTGTGACCGGATCGTGTTCTCAAAGGATAGGTCTGTTTATCTGCTTGTATATGTGTTCATGTCCTGCTACTTTCGCAACGTACTAGCTTACCAGTCGGTGCCTCTTCGTGTTCTACCCTCCCCCCATGGTCCAACGTCGTTTCGTTTGCTTCACGCTCTGTGGACACTGCTGTCGACTCGACTCAGACGGAGTTCATGCGGCGAAAAGTCCAGGCGGAAGGGTGGGACACAGAGCTGGGCGTGTGGGGGCGGGGCGTCGACCCCGAGCTCTTCTCCCCCGCCAGGCGCTGCCAAGACCTCCGGCGGCAGCTAGGGCTAGACCCCGATGACGTCGCCGCCCTGTGGCTCGGGAGGGTGGTTCAAGAAAAGAAGCCGGGAGTGTGGCTCCGGGTGCGTAGACAACGCCTTTCTAGCTGTCGACTTCGTCCCCCCACATAGAAATATTACTTGCTGCTCTACAACAGGGGATAAATTGAGGCCTGTGGGAACAATGCCCCGTACTCTCGAGGACGCGTGGTCAATGCTCTAACCGCTAAGGCATGCAAAACATGAGTAACCCCCCCCCCCGG